GTATCCAAAAAAAATAAGTTGTCAAGCATTCTGGATGAAAAAACGCGTTGGTGATGAATAATTGCCACGGAAATTGAAATACGTTAATTTAAGAAAGGATGCATTGCATCTTCATATACAGAACAACCACCTTGTCACACATTCAGTGCCATTTAATTTTGCTACATGCATTGTGGATTTTTCTTTCATCATTGCAATAAATGAGATTAAAAAAAAACACCGATTTGAATAACTGAGTGGGTCACTGTTTTGACAACCACCAGCTAATATGCTGCGGCTGGTGCCCGAGGGAGCCGCCACCACCCTTTTTTCCAACCCTCCCGTCCCCGCGCCGTCCCGCTGCAGCGACCGCAACTGCAACTACGGCTGACACGCACTCTCCCATAAAAATCTGCTCGTTGCGGCAGGCCATGCCGTGCGCTCTTTCATCCAGCGGCTGTGGTCATACACTCCGTCACTGATACTTTTTCTCTGGAGTTCGTCAGCGCATGGTTAATCATTGTAGCAGACATTGCTGTTATTCGAGTTGGTGTAGTAATGAGGTTGCGAAATCGATACCATTTTAGTAAGTACATGTAGTCGTCCACTGAACTACAGGTATCAATGTTCATATCACTAACAATAACAGTAGTTGTTTGACGTTGTTTGTTAGGTGACTGAGAATCATTTCAAGTGTTTCAAGAAAGGAGGGAAGACACGTATTTGGGGGACGATAAACTACAACCACTGTAAGTGAAGATCACACTCTGACGTAAAGTGACTCGATGGCTCCTGTACTACACGATAGTGAAGGTAGAATTCTATACGAATGCTCTGTTTTTAACAAAAAGAGCAACATCACCCCCTCGAAAATGAGTCGCGTGGCTGCAATAGCATTATGTCATCAGGAATTACAATGTTTTCATTTCTTTTTAGCCAAGTTATAGTGACAGCGATTACGTCAAAGCGTTGTGGATGCTGGGAAATATATGCGACGAGCTGATTAAGGTTTTTTCTTATGCTGCGAATGTTTCTATGAAATATCGACATGCCTTTGCTAGTGTAGTTGTCTTGTTGATTTAGGTGAGACATTGTGTATGAACTGGGTATGTGCGCTGGGTATAAACACACGTGTACCGCTTAAACCACACAGCCAAGGTGGTCCTCACATGTCACCTGAAACACGCGCGAATTTTCACTTTTATGCATTAAGATCTTGCTAACAGCCACCTACATGAACTTCCAGTTTTTTCTCGTTGTAACGGTATTGCCTTCCCAAGCAGAACCTTGTTCTCGGGATACAGGTGTTTGTTTACGAACACCGGCTCGTTTTCTTCCATACTAAGGGTCGACCTGTGCAGTCTGTGTTTTTTGGCTCTTCCCTAGACTCTATCTTGTGTCAATGTAGATGAAAACTTCACCACGTTTAGTGGGCCACTCCCACGCCTCGGCACATGATGAACAAAATCAGGTGCATTCTCATCGAGCCTTAGACTCAATGACAACGCAATGTTGTTGACAGTTGAAGATAGGTCCTCATTAGGTGTCTATGGGATTCCCTTCAGTTCAATATTTTCCCTTCAACTGTACTGTTTGAGCTCAATTAGTTTTGCCCTAGTTTCTTTCGATTCCTTATTAAGGCTTGAGTTTCCTTTTTCATACTTTAAGCTGCTTGTTTCACCTCCGTAAGTTTCGAGCGCATGCTTTTCATTTGGTTTCTAAAATCTTCAGTCATTTATGTGTCCCATTGACTTTGTTACAGCTATCAATTCGGCAGGCAGAAATGTTGTAGGCCCGTGTGCTCAGATTTGGGTGCACGTTAAAGAACCCCAGGTGGTCAAAATTTCCTGAGCCCTCCACTACGGCGTCTCTCATAATCATATGGTGTTTTTGGGACATTAAACCCCACAAATCAATCAATCTATCAATTCGGCCTTCACAGCATTGATGGATGGCTCCTGATTCTTAATTGTTGTAGTAAGGTCAGATATAGCCTTAACAAACTATGTAGTCATTTCCATGAATACTTTTAACGCTATCATGTCAAAGAGCTTGTTTCGCAAAAATTCTGGCGTCGGTGTTAGCGTCAGAATCATTGGTTGTGAGTGAAAAATCATTATCTTATGCGTGACTGAAAAATCGAGAATGATGCAAATATAATAAATAAATTATAAAAAAAATTTTGGAGCAGAGCTGGAACCGAACCAGGCCCCGCCACAGTGGTCTAGTGGCTAAGGTATTCGGCTGCTGATCTGAAGGTCGCGGGATCAAATCCCGGCTGTGGCGGCTGCAATTCCGATGGAGGCGGAAATCTTGTAGGCCCGTGTACTCAGATTTGGGTGTTCGTTAAAGAAACCCAGGTGGTTGAAATTTCCGGAGCCCTCCACTACGGCGTCTCTCATAATCATATGGTGGTTTTGGGACGTTAAACCCCACAAATCATCATCATCATTATGGAACCAAACCAGGGTTGTTTGGGTCCATGTGAGGATCGAACCCGAATCCTTTGCGTGGCAAGCGGATGTTCTACCACACGACCACACCTCTGCTTGTTAAAACAGTGAAAAGAACTTCCTCTGCTTGGAAATGAAGTGAATGTAGCTTCCATGCTTCACAAACACACGCATCCTGTGTACGTGGTTCACAATGCAACATGACATATTGCAGTAATAATGTGTGGTACAACCGCCCATTGCCAACAAGTGTCGGAATGTGTAATTATCAAAATGGCTCTATGGTTGAAAGCCGGTACCCCATTACAAAAGGCACACACACTACTGCGCCTATTCTCTTGAGGCCACATAGTGGGTGCATAGCAAATTCGAAAAGGTTTCATGCACTAAGTGTTTGAAGTGCACACTAGAAACAGGATGTCGCTATCGTGCTCATCTTCTAAAGGCGAAGTTTTAGGGTTCCCTAATTTTTCTTCTTTTTATAACTTCCTTGATGCTGCCAAGGGGCTTGTCCGCCTAGGACTTTCCAAAGTCAGACAAAGGATCTGTTGCACTTGACATGATTGCACAAGAAAGACAGTGAACAAATAGGTTTTTCAGAGCAGTCCTGCAGCTATGAAATCTGAGAAATCACCAATTATGGTTGATGCGTATTTGCTTACCTGAAATGATGCAAATCGAATTGACGGTTTAGCAGACCAGAGTCGTGGATGCCAGGACCGCTCTGAGGTGTACAAGCCAGCTGCGTGGTTTCTCTTATGGGTGACAAAGATGCCGCCCCTAGATGTATTCCAGAATGGTGACGTATGCTTGCCTGTTTGCTGAGTGCGGTGACTGTCAGTATGTGCATGCATCCGATGATGGCTTGCTGGCTGGTGCCAAACCTCGAAGTTTTCTTCGCTTCACCAAGTAGTGTCCAGGCAGCAACGGGCACTCGTTCAACAAGGGCTTGTCTAAAGTTGGCCCAAAAGGACGCAAATCGATGGCTTAGCAGACCACAATCACAGATGCCAGGACCACTCTGAAGTTATTCCCAAACTGGGCACCAACAGCCGAAACAGCATTTTTCAGGCCCATGCAAGCCAATTGAAACTTCACGTGCCGCGCGATTTCTGCATTCACGCCTCTTCATCTTCTGGCTAAGCCTCCCAGGGAGTAGGGCTTGCGAATGTAGTGGATCATGCCGAAGAAGTGACTGGAGCATGAGAGTTAGTCGAGCGAAGGAGAACTATGAAGATAAAGTTTTGTTGGATTATGTTCACCTGAGTTGCTCTTGTACATTTCAATACTTAGCAGATGCGTAGTGGGTGCAGTTCTAATTCACAAAAGTTATGGTGTAGTTGATAGCTTGATAGCTTGTGGAAAGCCATAACTTAAAGCACAGTTGGCCTTGCCCCAACACGAAGCTACGCTCCGAATTCGCATTAAGCAGTGTTGTAATCGTCTGTGAATTTTTTCAGTGTGTGGATTACTTATACCCAATGGCACTTATGACACTCAATGAAACAATTCCGGACAGTAGTAAAACACATGTATTTTTATGTATTGTAGAAAGTGTTTGTTTTTAGTTCACATTTTTTCTGCTCGTGGCAGAGTTAGCAATTCTTGTGAATGTCAACACTTTCTGGCCTGTGGAGCGCATGCCTTGCGGATAGAGTTGGAGAAGGTGGGGCGGTGCCAGCTATTCTGGCGTTGTCAAGATGGAGGAGCTGATTGATGAGCTCTTCTCCAGAAGCTTGTTGAGACTATAAAACAGAAATTAAACAATGTGAACAAACAGCAAGCCTGTTTGGGAACTGGCAAGAGAAGAAAATGTGAATGTACACTTGCCTACGAGTTCCAAGTCCCAGGTTAATTCTCGCCCGAATCGCTGTTTGAAATAAAAACTGAGGTGCCAGTCATCTTTGGACTCTTCGCTGCTTGACTCATCAAAAAATTTAAAATCTGCCATTGAAGCAACGGAATCTTGCAACTCATGTCGTTCCTTTGCACAGTCCGACAAGTGCCCAACGTTGTGATCTGTTATGTTCACTGTCACCACCACCACCACCAAATCTCTCTCGCATATCACTGCTTTTTTTGGAAAAATGGCAAACTATGGCAAAAGTGAAAGTCTAGTGATGAAACTGTGCTATATTGCAATACATGTAAAAAACTACAAAATTTCAAACACGGCAGCACATGGAAATCCATCAGTCATATATGATCGATGCTCATATAGGGCCGTCCCAAAGAAGTCAATGAAGCAGAATTAATCAGCAACTGTAGAAGCAAGCATGCATGCAAATTAATTGAAGCACCGGTTTTGTAGGTTAGGGGAGCAGTGTGTTAGCTCAGTGTCTATCTTCTTATGCAATTGAGAGCTAAATTTCATTTGGTTGATTTGCAGAGACTGATAATGACCACTTTAGGAAAGCCATGGGCAATGATTTGGTCGTCATCATATGTATATGTAATCACTTCCAGCTAAGGTTATCAAAAGTTGAACACTATGACAGCGTGCTTTTTTTTTTCCTCAACACTTCGTATATGCTATTGATATCTATTTTTGAATGCACTATTTTTCAGCCAGCCGTCCTCTAGAGGGATCTTCCTGTTTGAAGATGAAGACGATGGATCAGAGAATTCATGCCCTGCTTCTGCAACTGTTCTCAAGAAGGTACTACATTTACTCGTTGTGTAGTTGAAGAGAGAACTGAGGTTATTTCATTTCAGAGTCTGATATATCACTCTGAAACCACATCTCGTTGACGATTTGAGGTTTTTATGAGGGAATAGCACTTTACAGTACATCAGTTTTATTCACAGCTCTACAAACATTAAACTAGAGACAAAGGAAGGGCTTTTTGATGGCAGCTGGTCACTGTTCATCTCTAGCATTCTTGTGCTGAACAAAAACTCCAATTTTTGGACTGCCATCCCACTCAGAGATCATTTTAGATTTTAAATTTATCGTGTATTAGCTTAACTACTTTACTAGACTATCTGATGTCAATTGTACTCTTCCACAGGTTTCTTCTTATTGTCTCGCGCTCGTGGAAAAATTCACTGCCATAAAAATTCATTGTCTTTGTAACTTACAGTGATCACTAGAAAGGAGATTATAGGCAAATGTTTTTGTTTCTTGCGTTTCTACCGTGCTACTTATGTGAGCATGAATTGGAGGTTAACAAAAGCTTTTATAATGTTTTATAGTGCCTATAACTGGCTATTTTTGACCTTTGTGCCTAAATTTCTATAAGTGCATACAAATCCCTTTTTTCAAAATCGGTGCTATATAATCTCAAATTTTGCTTTGGAGATACAGTTGGAGATCGGTAATCATATTACCAGTCAAAATGGAGTGCAACTTATACTCCATCTCATCAGTTTTTTTTAGCACTGTCAAGGCTATTAGGCCTCTTAGCAATAGGAAAGCCGTTCAGCCTCTACACATGTATTCGTCCACGTCGCATCGTCTGCTCAGCATCTTGTGGTGTCTGCTCGCTCGCATAGGGAACCAGAGGTGCTTCTGTCTAGCCGCAGCACGATGAACGAATGCAAAACTGTGAAGTGTCATAAAGGGAAAGTAGAGTGTAGATGAAAAAAAAAATATATTCTATCCTTGCAGTTTTTGTTTTCTTTGTCATTTACTTCTTAAACTGCGCTTCACTAACTCACATGAGAAATTTTACTTTGAGGTGGAAGTTGTTGTGTGTCCAATGAAAAGCTTTGTACCACTAGAGTTTTCTCATTGGTTCATTTCAAGCTGCGAAAGCATGATGAGAGGAGGTGAGCTTAAAACCGTTGCCACTAGCCTTCGCAAGCCAGATTTATTCCTTGTCCTCTTTGGTATCTGAGCAACTCTGAGCCGGAAGATCAGACAACGCAGACGCATCAACCAGTCATGAGCACGCAAGGTTACATTCGCATGGAACACCCAAGCTAGGTCGAGCACGTAAGCGACGTTGTGTCGTTTCAGTGTTCTCTGTATTCTACTGCCTGTTTCTGTGGGATGGATATCTCTATGCGTGCATGTTTGGAGAGACTGGCATGGATAATGTGTCCTTACCACGATACATAGTGTCGCACTGCTGGAACTGACTGCTTTAAAGGGACACTAAAGCCAACTATTATGTCGACATTGATTGTTGAAATGGTGGTTCAGAAACCTCGTAGTGTTGCTTTCGTGCCAAGGAAGGCCTATTTTGAAATGAAATCACGTTTTACTGCTCCGCATCAGGTTAGCGTACTTCAAATTACCCGCCTCAAGAAGCGGACCGACCGGACCGTCTCACGTCACTGTTGCGGTGCACAACGTTGCCCGGCTTTACTGCGCTAGTAGCAGCAGACCGAAAGAAGCGGGAGCCACACCAGCAACAACGGTCATTGATCGATTTCCCGCCATCAGCTTCGAGATTGCAGACGCTTTGCTTCAACTGCGCCTCGCTAGATGGCACCACCTGTCCTGTGTAACCACGTGAAAATAGAATTTTTGAACCACTCGCGCCATTCCCCATAGTAACGTCCGGCCGTTCTTTTTTTCACGAATCAAACAGAAACGAACAAGCAGCATTTCATTGCATCTCTTGATGCACGGAAGGTTCTTTATTTAGTGCAGATAGATCGATTACTAGTGATTAATTGTAGGCGGTCCGTGTGATGTCATCGGCATCATTTTGAAAATGTCCTACTGCGGCGCTTGTGTTCTTGTGCATTTACCTTAATTTCTTGGTAAGTAGGGCACTGTTGATAATATTATCGTTTTAGATGTTGTCATACATTGAGCTTTCACACTGACGTAAATTGTTATTTGACTCTGCAAACCCTGCTAAATCATGCTGATGGGCTAGTTGGTTTGCATCCATGAATTGTGAGTAAGCGTGAACAGACACTGATGTAGAAGAAAACTGACTCGGACAGAGTGCTACTTTCAACTGATCTTTTACTTTTGCATGAACCGATAAGTATATACTGAGCGAGCAGAAATAACATCAGCAAAAAGAATGTTTTGTGGATTCACATTGGTGAACCGAGCACGTGTACAATGCATTATCACAACATAGCAAAAAGTTTCTTGTCACTGCGTCAAGTTAAGGTAATGAAGCTCTTGTTGAGAAAGTGATACTGAAGGTTGGTGTTTATGATTTCTTAATAAAAGATTTCTTGTGGATGATTTCTTCATTGTTTTAAACAATGAATCATAGGGTTTTGACTGTGAGGTCTCAAAAATCATAATCACATTCACAGAAGCCCTGTCCCTATTGGTGTTGATGCATGAAGTGCTCTAGGGCAATTTCATTAGATTTTTAGACCTAAGACTCTACTTTTCATCACAGAAAGTTTGCTGGAGTTACAAGCCAAGAGGCAATAAACCCGTCCTGCCGTTTTCCTCTGCTCGTTCAAAGCTAGTTAAATGCGCCATTGTACAATCCTGTTTTAATAACTCCCATATGAAGTCCTGTAATCACCAGGTGGAAGGTAGCTCTCTGAACCAAGCCAAGCGCTTAGCAGAGTCAGGTTACCCAGTATGTGTACTGAGCTCGGTCGCAGAGGGCTTGAGCAGAAGGCTACAAGATCCGTCTAAAGGCAGTAGTGGTGGTACAGCAAAAAAAGTGGTCATCATGCCATACATGCATGGCGTTTTGCACATTCTCAGAATCCCCTGAAAGTAAGGTGTGGATGTGATCTTTTCCACTCCAGAATGTCTACAAAAGTTATGTCGACATGTTAATTTAAAATGTAACAGTGTAAATGCTTGTCTCGTAAACCGTAGAACACTTTTTGTAAACAGCGCTCGCAACATTGTTTATGCTATTCTGCTTTCCTGTACAAGAACTTTTGTTGGTCAGATCGGCTGATGTATTAATCATAGATTGAAAGAGCATCATTATAATGTCACGAAAGCAATCTCAGGTCATTTGTGCATTCATTGCTAAGATTGTGGATGCAAGCCCTTGTTTGAGAAAACGGCAATCTTATTTAAGGCACTTAGCAAAATGACAAGGGAGATCATGGAGGTGTATGAAATTGCAAGATTATCAGACATGTGCATTAGCCAACTTTCAGTATCACTTTCTCAAAAAGCTTCACTACCTCTATTTGACACAGTGACACAAAACTTTTTGCTATGTTGTGATAATGCATTGCACAACTGCTCGGTGGAATGATGTTAATCCACAAAACATTCTTTTTGCTTAGTTATTTCTGCTCGCTCGATATTATATTTATCAGTTTGTGCGAAAATAAAACATCAATTGAAAGTAGCATCAGTTCTCTTCTAGTTCCTTGTCTGTTCGCGCTGCTCACAATTCATGGCTGAAAACCCTGCAGGAAAAAAATTGTTGGTAAATGCTAAACCATAGGTGCCTTTTTTAGCATCATAAACTAAAACATTCCTGTTGCGAGAGAGTAATGACGACAAGACAAGCCATCCATGACCCAGGCGCAAGAACCTTGGGTGCAGGCGCACGCAACGCGTTACAAATACAGAGAAGCTGTATAAAGCCACATCGTCTCATTGTAACGGCTTGTTATTTTCAAAAATAGTTGTAAATCTCAGAATAAATAAGGTTAAGCATACAGTCGAACCTCAATATATCGAACGGCACGGCGGTCGCGAAATAGTTCGATATATCCAGAATTCTATATAAAAAAAATCGCGAAAAAAAATGCCTCAACAGCTTGCTTAAAACAATCAACGAACCGTTCAAGCGTGGTGCAGTAAATACACACTTGAAGATTCAAACATAGTACGGTATTTATTGTGTTGGTTTAAAATATTGAAAAAGAATAGCCTGCTTTTTGTTAGTCATGGCTTGTTTGACGACTGCGTCCTCAATATAGTCCAGGCGATCCATAAGTGATAGGCCGGTGTCTTCAATCGCGCCGCAGTGGCGGCGCAAAATGGCCAAGGCAGCTACGACCTCAGCTGATGTCGGGAGCGGGGCACCATCAGCGCTTGCGGGATCCACCTCGTCTTCCACCAGTCTTCACCACCAGTCTTCATTTGGCTGCTCAGCAGTAGCTTCGGCGACAATCTCCACATCCGTGAGCTCCGCCGTTCGGAGTTAGGCCTGTCGCGTGCTGTGGTGCGCGACAGGCCTACGTTAAGTGGCACTCTCGGTGCCATCGATGTGTGCAGCATTCGTAAACGCCCGCTGCACTACCGCTACTTTCGAGAGTTGCGGGAAAGCTCGCCGCCTGTCAATGGAGCGCGGGCGGTTTGGGGTGGCTGAGTTTGATATATCCATTATATGTCAAACTTTGTTCGAAATAAAAAATCAATAATGCATGCGATTTCCCACATGATATAGGAACCGTTCGATATAGGCAATAATTCGATATATCCGTGTTCGATATATTGAGGTTTGACTGTAGTTACAGGAACTCCTGCAAAAGCAGAACGACAGCATGCACAAGTCGCCAGAAAGGCTACTAGCATTGCATACAATTCTCAGCGTTGCTGGATGAAAGGGCTCATCATTGATTGATATATGGGGTTTAATGTTCCAAAGCTATCATATACCCTTATATGCAAATTATCATCTCACGCAAGAAAGGAAACAGCTGGTTCCGCAGGCACTTAAACTGAATAAGGCAAAAGGCTGGAAATATCTCTGCTGACCACTGTGAGATTAAGGCCTGAAAGACAGATGACAGCCACGTCTATCGTACCTC